CAGGAGAAACATGCGGAAAAGTGAGGAAGCAGAAGAGGGCAGGGGAGGAAACAACAAATACATGTTTCTGGAGAGGTATAGCATCAACCGCATCCATGGGGAGCTCTGGAGTATACATTGTACCAGAGTTCAATTTGTCCTAACAGAGGCAATGACACCTTCACATGTGTTGGTCAGAGGCTGCCCCTGGTGATAAGAAGGGATGTATAATCTCATATCCTCAGAAAAACATGGCTTACCTTAGTCAAGGGCATTGCTTTGGAGAAGAATACAGGTGTGAGGACCTAGCAGCCAACATCACTAAGTAACCAGGTGGGTACCTTGTCCCAGGTGAAAGTAGTCAGCAAGGGGACAAAACAGCATCTGCAACCCGATAGAAGAAATGGATTAAGTGTTCACCTAGGAACACGGATGGATCTCAAAAATATTGTGCTGAGTAAGAAAAAAGTAAGAAGCAAAGTTGTTTGTATGCAATGCCATTTACATAAAATAAAAACGCTTAATAACAAACATATGAATTTTATTAAAAACACAAACATAACACTGAACACAGAATGATATTCAAAATACGTAACACCCTCTTGGGAAAGGTACTGACCAAATAGGACAGGATGCTGACACTTGCCATAAGAAAAGAGAGTGGGGGCTTCTGTAGATCAATGATGCTGACATTTGACAGCATGTGAAGTACAAAGACTTGAATTTGCATTTGACGTTCAAAAAGGGAAAACATGAATAAATAGGAAAATAATGGGGAGGGAATTCTTTCTCTTTGTCCGCCATAGAAGTTAAAGTAAGGTGACTTTTTTTTTTTTTTTTTGGTGGTACGTGGGCCTCTCACTGTTGTGGCCTCTCCCGTTGCAGAGCACAGGCTCTGGACACGCAGGCTTGGTGGCCATGTCTCATGGGCCCAGCCGCTCCATGGCATGTGGGATCTTCCCAGATCGGGGCACGAACCCATGTCCCCTGCATCGGCAGGTGGACTCTCAACCACTGCGCCACCAGGGAAGCCCCAAAGTAAGGTGATTTTGAATGACCTTCCATTTGCAGGATGGATTTCTCTGTTCTTTCATTCCCAGCTAATGAATTAAAATACTGTTTTGTACAAGCTTGTCTCTATAATTCCTGCCAGCTCCCACGGTCTCCAGGCAAGGCTTTCTCTTAGAAAAGTGAGCAATGGCTGCCTTGCCATGTATCAGAAATAAGAACTTAGATTTTCAATGTTTCGAGGTTTTCATGGAATGGTAAGGAATTTGGTAATGACTTATTTTTAATATTTAAGGTGAGATCAGCTTTATCAGGATTAAGGACAAAGGTAACTGCTGAAACTGATTTATTCCACCCCATGAGAGACTGAATATACAAACAGAAAAGGGCCAGACTGTATATAAAAATATGACCCACAACCTGTAGCAACCTGCTCTAAAAACCAACCCCCTTATTTACAATAAGCAATCCAGGAAGCAGCCTGCTAGAAGTCAGACTTTCAGGAAGCCAAGATGCTGAACAATAACTTCTCTAACAACTGTCCCCAGATGGCCAGGGTGTGATCAATAACTGACAGCTTCTCTAATTTTTGGACCCAGTTCCAACTTAGAACCAACAGAGCACCCCTACCCAATCACAGGGGACCCCTCACTTCTAGTAGCCACCCCAGCTTCCCCAGGCCCACAGTCTCCATCAGGGCACCCCCGAGCCCTCCCTTTTTTCACTATAAAATTTCACACTTCTCTGCCTACTTTTTGGTCTCTACCAAAACACAAGCGATGGTGGCTGACCCTCTTGCTATAACAAGCTCTGAATAAATAGCCACCACTTAATTGCATTTGGTTGGTCTTCATTTATTTCCAAGGTTAATCATTAGGGCTCCAGTGAGGTCTGGTCTGCACTTCCCATCACTGTAGGCCCTAGTGTTCAACCAAACGTGGTCCCCACAGAGGCCCCTTGTTCCCTGCTGCTCACTGCTTGCCAAGTCCAGGAAGGTGTGGAAAGACAGCACTGGGTGTGAACTCTGCTCTTTGCTTTGAGTTCCTCAGCTATTCAATCTTAGTTTGGTACCAGGTTTTCTTATTAGTTTCCTTTTTGTTTTGCATCCTTGATGGAATTAGGCCATCCCTCTTCCTTCCATTGTGCTGCCTTTTGTGTTCCTGTTTTTGTACTGGGCGCTCTAAAATTGCTGTTTATCATGAGTCCTGGGGTAGGACACAGCCACAGGTTTTATAAGCCTGTTGTTTGAGGCCGGCTCATCCCCCAGTGGGTTTTCATTTGTTGTGAGACCACCGTTCACGGGGACTAACTTTGCTGCGGGTCACCAATAAAACTGGATGAGATTCCCCTTCTGCTTTGATTATGTGTCCTGAAAGCTTGGCTATAACTCCAAGACAGCATCCTTTCTGGTTTTCCACCTGCCGGGCCTGCATTTGGATGAGGCCCACCATCAGGTTGGGCCTGAGACAGGATGTGCTCAAGCATCACGTTCCTACTGCCAGCTGCCATGGCAAGGGGTCCTGTAAGTCAAATCCTCTCCTCTGCTTGGGTGAACCCTGTTTCTTATCTGTCCTCTCTGTACAGTCCTAACTCCTGTGCCTGTCTTTCTAAACAGCATAACTTCACCAAGGCTAACCCAGGCGTTTGGTGTCCATTCTCGGGGGCATTTGACTTTAGCCATGTTTTCATTTGTGAGGCATTTTGAAAAGGAAGGGAATCAGATTTTGCAAGCCCAATGGACAGCATTTCTTGATTGTTATGCAGAGGCCTCCAAATGAAATTCTGAATTAAAAATTGCATCATTAAGTCTGTGGTCAAAGGAAATGAGCAATTTGACAATCTTAAGAAAGAAAAAATTAGACTCATTTCCTTCAGATCCTCCCTCCAGTCCCCTCCCTACATCCATCTCTCCCACTTCCCTCCTATACTGATTTCTCTCCTTTGCATCTTTTCTCTAAAAACTAATAGACAGAAACCTCAATTATGTAGAGTCAGGAGACCAGAAGTGGAAATCCTCACCCCCCAAGACAGTAGCTGAGCTGACAGGAAGAAGACAGACCCTTCCTCTTTCTCAGCAGGGATTTAGCCAATGATCAGCCATGGATGCTGTTTACTAAGCCCTCCCACCTTCCTTTTCCTCTATACAATCTTTCTCCTTCCCTTGTTGTGCAGGAAAGTGCATGTGACTCACTATGGTTGTAGACCCTGAATTGCAATTCTCTGCTAATCCCAAATAAACCCATTTTGCTGGCAAAATACCTGGCAGCCCAATTGTTTCAGATTGACACTTCCCTCTTTTTCTTGTCCAGACCCTCTACCTTTCCCTAATAACCCTCCTAAAAGCCCAAATGCCAGCTGCCTCTAAGGACCCATCCTGCCCATAAGCCATGCTCATGAGTTGTTTGCTGACCACTGTAGAATTTAAGCCTTGGGTCCAAGCTGAATTTAAGAGTTATAATTAAAGATTTTGCTAAATCCAAACAAAACCAGCACATATTCATAGAAGAATTTAGAATTCTTTGGGTACATATAACCCAGGGCTACCTAACCTATATCAACTTGTACACATGTTGGTCAGAACCATACAGGTTGCTTCTATATGATAAAGCTGACTAGATTGACCTGGAAAGAGATACTATAGATAAATTTCTCTTCACAATAAATTTCAGCGTCAAAAACAAAAACAAAAATGAAACAAAACAAAATAAAAAGGTCAGAAAAGTAGATCTACATCTCTTAAAAGTCATACTTGAAATATTTCCAATAAAAATGGATTGGACCAAACTTTAATTATGCAAGCAACAAAAATAATGAAATTAGAGGAGATTTTCAGGATAGATTAGAATATACCTCTTGACAACACTTGAGAGTGTAAGGAGGGACTTATGTAACAGCAGCCCTCTAATCTCATTGTCTCAATGGAATTAAACCTGAACTTGGAGACTTAATTTGAAAAAATTAGAACGAGAAAGAGCCCCTTCAGCTGAACTACAACACAGGGAAGAACACTATAAAAGGGGTTTAGAATAAAACTGAGAAAAAAACCTAAAGTAAATTTGTGGCTCTGCAGATCAAACAGCTAGGTGGCCCACCACCCAGGCCAACCACTTGAAGGAATTATAAACCAAAATGACACTAAAAAAGAAGTCCTATCTAATGAAAGCAAAACAAAGAGAAATGCCTTGATTCAAATCAATGAGGGTGCTCTGAGGAAGGAGAAAGTACCTAGTATCCTACCATACACTTAATCTCTCAAAATGAAATACTTATAAATTATGGATGGTCATCCTCATCAATTCCTGATAGATGCAGGAGCTACTCCTCCTACATTAAGCTCTGATAACTTTACTCAACATTTTGCCCCAGAGTAAACATACTGCACAGGTGGAAGGTATTTCAAATAACCTACAGATGTTCCCCTATCTCCTGGCTGTTAACTGTAACCTGTGAGCCCTTGACTGAAAAACATTCCTTCCTGCTCTGTGATACCACCTTTGAGAATTTAATAGGGAGAGACATACTCTGCAAATGGAATTGCAGTGTTAAATGTTCACCACAGTGACTCTTTCCTGATGTCCCAGAAGATTCCACTATTCATAATCAAGCAGTATATGCCTTGGATATACATTTCCCTCCTCTGTTATATTTCATGCATACTAGGATAAGGATTCTGGACATTGTATCTGACTTGAGGCTAAAAATTCCACAGATGTTGGAAAAATAATTGGAGTAGACTCTATCAAAGTCCAAACAAATTCTACCAAGCTGTTACCTAAACTTCTCCAATATCTTGTAAAGTCAGAAGCAAAGGAAGGGGACAAACATAGTTGAAAGCCTTATATCTAAAGGATTCTCATGTCTTGCACTAGCTCTTGTTACACTCCTCTCCTACAAGTAAAGAACCAAATGGACAAGGAAAGAGATTTATTTAAGAACTCAAGGCCATCAACATGATTGTTATCCCTGCTCCCCTATAGTTCCTAACCCAAGTACCATCTTGCCCTCACTTCCAGGAGCTCTGATGTGTGGAGATTTGCTCTGCCTTTTCCATATGCCTCTAACCAGGAGAGTCAGTACCTTTCTTCTTTCACCTGTGGAGGACATCAGTACACCTGACAGCATGGCAGGGCTTCACTGGAAACCCTCCTACTTCTCCAAGGTGCTCAATTAAGACTTACAGGGTCTACACCTCTTAGAGAAATGGAAATAAAAATAAAAATAAACAAATGGGACCTAATGAAACTTAAAAGCTTTTTCACAGCAAGGGAAACCATAAACAAGACGAAAAGACAACCCTCAGAAGATGGCGGAAGAGTAAGACGCAGAGATCAACTTCTTCCCCACAGATACACCAGAAATACATCTACACGTGGAACAACTCCTACAGAACACCTACTGAACGCTGGCAGAAGATCTCAGACCTCCCAAAAGGCAAGAAACTCCCCACATACCTGGGTAGGACAAAAGAAAGAAGAAAAAAAAAACAGAAGCAAAAGAATAGGGACGGGACCTGCACCAGTGGGAGGGAGCCATGAAGGAGGAAAGGTTTCCACACACTAGAAGCCCCTTCATGGGCGGAGACTGCGGGTGGTGGAGGGGGTGAGCTTCAGGGCCACAGAGGAGAGCACAGCAACAGGGGTGCGTAGGGAAAAGCGGAGAAATTCCCGCACGGAGAATCGGTGCCTACCTGCACTCACTAGCCCGAGAGGCTTTTCTACTCACCCGCCGGGGCAGGCGGGGCTGGAAGCTGAGGCTTGGGCTTCGGTCAGAGCGCAGGGAGAGGACAGGGGTTGGCTGCATAAACACAGCCTGAAGGGGCAAGTGCGCCACGGGTAGCCGGGAGGGAGTCCAGGAAAAAGTCTGGAGCTGCCGAAGAGACAAGAGACTTTTTCTTGCCTCCTTGTTTCCTGGTGCCTGAGGAGAGGGGATTAAGAGCACCACTTAAAGGAGCTCTAGAGACGGGCACGAGCCGCAGCTATCAGCACGGACCCCAGACACCGGAATGAGATGTGAAGGCTGCTGCTACAGCCACCAAAAAGCCTGTGTGTGAGCACAGGTCACTCTCCACACCTCCCCTCCAGGGAGCCTGTGCAGCCCGCCACTGCCAGGGTCCCGTGATTCAGGGACAACTTCCCCGTGAGAACACACGTGCTCCTCAGGCTGTTGAAAGGTCATGCTGGTCTCTGCCGCGCAGGCTCGCCCTGCACTCCGTACCCCTCCCTACCCCCGGCCTGAGTGAGCCAGAGCCCCCTATTCAGTGGCTCCTTTAACCCCGTCCTGTCTGAGCAAAGAACAGACGCCCACAGGTCATCTACACGCAGAGGCGGGTCCAAATCCAAAGCTGGACCCCGGGAGCTGTGTGAACAAAGAATAGAAAGGGAAATCTCTCCCAGAAGCATCAGGAGCAGTGGATTAAATCTCCACAATCAACTTGATGTACCCTGCATCTGTGTAATACCTGAATAGACAACAAATCGTCCCAAATTGAGGAGGTGGACTTTGAGAGCAATGATATATATATATTTTTTTTTTCCCTTTTTCTCTTTTTGTGAGTGTGTATATGTATGCTTCTGTGTGTGATTTTGTCTGTATAGTTTTGCTTTTACCATTTGTCCTAGGGTTCTGCCTGTCCTTTTTTTTTTTAATTACTTAAAAAAAAGTTCTTAATAATTATTGTTTAATTTAATAACTTTATTTTATCTTCTTTCTTTTTTCTTTCTTTCTTTCTTTTTTCCTCCCTTTTATTCTGAGCTTTGTGGAAGACAGGCTCTTGGTGCTCCAGCCAGGCATCAGGCTGTGCCAATGAGGTGGGACCACAAGTTCAGGACACTGGTGCACAAGAGACCTTCCAGATCTACGTAATATCAAACAGTGGAAACCTCCCAGAGATCTCCATCTCAATGCCAAGACCCAGCTCCACTCAACGACCAGAAAGCTACAGGGCAGGACACCCTATGCCAAACAACTAGCAAGACAGGAACACAAACCCATCCATTAGCACAGAGGCTGCCTAAAATCATAATAAGGACACAGACACCCCAAAATACACCACCATACATGGACCTGCACACCAGAAAGACAAGATCCAGCCTCATCCACCAAAACACAGGTACTAGTCCCCTCCACCAGGAAGCCTACACAACCCACTGAACCAACCTTAGCCTCCGGATACAGACACCAAAAGCGAAGGAAACTACGAACCTGCAGCCTGCAAAAAGGAGACCCCCAAACACAGTAAGTTAAGCAAAATGAGAAGACAAAGAAATACACAGCAGATGAAGGAGCAAAGCAAAACCCCACCAGACCGAACAAATGAAGAGGAAATAGTCAGTCTACCTGAAAAAGAATTCAGAATAATGATAGTAAACATGATCCAAAATCTTGGAAACAGAATGGAGAAAATACAAGAAAGGTTTAACAAGGACCTAGAAGAACTAAAGAGCAAACAAACAGAGATGAACAACACAATAAATGAAATTAAAAATACTCTAGAAGGGATCAATAGCAGAAAAATTGAGGCAGAAGAATGGATAAGTGACCTGTAAGATAAAATAGTGGAAATAACTACTGCAGAACAGAATAAAGAAAAAAGAATGGAAAGAATTGAGGACAGTCTCAGAGACCTCTGGGACAACATTAAATGCACCAACATTCGAATTATAGGGGTCCCAAAAGAAGAAGAGAAAAAGAAAGGGACTGAGAAAATATTTGAAGAGATTATAGTTGAAAACTTCCCTAATATGGGAAAGGAAATAGTTAATCAAGTCCAGGAAGCACAGAGAGTCCCATAAGGATAAATCCAAGGAGAAACATGCCAAAACACATATTAATCAAACTATCAAAAATTAAATACAAAGAACAATATAAAAAGCAGCAAGGGAAAAACAAATAATACACAAGGGAATCCCCATAAGGTTAAGAGCTGATGTTTCAGCAGAAACTGTGCAAGCCAGAAGGGACTGGCAGGACATATTTAAAGTGATGAAGGAGAAGAATCTACAACCAATATTACTCTACCCAGCAAGGATCTCATTCAAATTTGATGGAGAAATAAAAAGCTTTAGAGACAAGCAAAAGCTAAGAGAATTCAGCACCATCAAACCAGCTTTACACCAAATGCTAAAGGAACTTCTCTAGGCAAAAAACACAAGACAAGGAAAAGCCCTACAATAATAAACCCCCCCAAATTAAGAAAATGGTAATAGGAACATAAATGTCGATAATTACGTTAAATGTAAATACATTGAATGCTCCAACCAAAAGACATAGACTGGCTGAATGGATGCAAAAACAAACCTGTATATATGCTGTCTACAAGAGACCCACTTCAGATCTAGGGACAAATACAGACTGAAAGTGAGGAGATGGAAAAAGATATTCCATGCAATGGAAAACAAAAGAAAGCTGGAGTAGCAATTCTCATATCAGACAAAATAGACTTTAAAACAAAGACTATTACAAGAGACAAAGAAGGACAGTACATAATGGTCAAGGGATCAATCCAAGAAGAAGATATAACAACTGTAAATATTTATGCACCCAACAAAGGAGCACCACAGTACATAAGGAAAATACAAACAGCCATAAAAGGGGAAATCGACAGTAACACAATCATAGTAGGGGACTTTAAAACCCCACTTTCACCAATGAACAGATCATCCAAAATGAAAATAAATAAGGAAACACAAGCTTTAAATGATACATTAAACAAGATGGACTTAATTGATATTTATGGGACATTACATCCAAAAACAACAGAATACACATTCTTCTCAAGTGCTTATGGAACATTCTACAGGATAGATCATATCTTGGGTCACAAATCAAGCCTTGGTAAATTTAAGAAAATTGAAATTGTATCAAGTATCTTTTCCGACCACAACGCTATGAGACTAGATATCAATTACAGGAGAAAATCTGTAAGAAATACAAACACATGGAGGCTAAACAACAACTACTTAATAACCAAGAGATCACTGAAGATCACTGAAGAAGTCAAAGAGGAAATAAAAAAATACCTAGAAACAAATGACAATGGAAACACAATGACCCAAAACCTATGGGATGCAGCAAAAGCAGTTTTAAAAGGGAAGTTAATAGCAATACAATCCTCCCTCAAGGAAAAAGAAACATCTGAAATAAACAAACTATACTTACCACTAATGCAATTTAGAGAAACAAGAAAAAAAAAACCCAAATTTAGCAGAAGGAAAGAAATCATAAAGATCAGATCAGAAATTAATGAAAAAGAAATGAAGGAAACAATAGCAAAGATCAATAAAACTAAAAGCTGGTTCTTTGAGAAGATAAACAAAATTGATAAACCATTAGCCAGACTTATCTGGAAAACAAGTAGACTCAAATTGATAGAATTAGAAATGAAAAAGGAGAAATAACAACTGACACTGCAGAAATGCAAAGGATCATGAGAGATTACTACAAGCAACCATATGCCAATGAAATGGACAACCTTGAAGAAGTAGACAAATTTTCAGAAACGCACAACTCTCCGAGAATGAACCAGGAAGAAATAGAAAATATAAACAGACCAATCACAAGCACTGAAATTGAAACTGTGATTAAAAATCTTCCAACAAACAAAAACCCAGGACCAGATGGCTTCACAGACGAATTCTATCAAACATTTAGAGAAGAGCTAATACCCATCCTTCTCAAACTCTTCCAAAATATAACAGAGGGAGGAACACTCCCAAATTCCTTCTACAGGGCCATCACCACCTTGATACCAAAACCAGACAAGGATGTCACAAAGAAAGAAAACTACAGGCCAATATCACTGATGAACATAGATGCAAAAATCCTCAACAAAATACTAGCAAACAGATTCCAACAGCACATTAAAATGATTGTACCCTATGATCAAGAGGGGTTTATCCCAGGAATGCAAGGATTCTTCAATAGACTCAAATCACTCAACGTGATACAACATATTAACAATTGAAGGCGAAAAAACATATGACCATCTCAATAGATGCAGAGAAAGCTTTCGACAAAATTCAACACCCATCTATGATAAAAACCCTCAGAAAGTAGGCATAGAGGGCACTTTTCTCAACACAATAAATGCCATATATGACAAACCCACAGCCAACATCATCCTCAATGTTGAAAAATTGAAACCATTTCCACTAAGATCAGGAACAAGACAATGTTGCCTACCCTCACCACTATTATTCAACATAGTTTTGGAAGTTTAACCCA